TAACCATTTTCGACTGAAAGCAAGGGTCAGGTGATTTTACTTACACAGAAAGAGATGTAGACCTAAATTTACTCTGGTACTTACCATAAAAGCAAGTAACTGGAACTCACAACTGATTTTATATGCATTTTTAAAGAATAAAGCTTATCATACTTTAATAGTGACCAAAAAAGGTCTTTAGAAAAACTGTTCATAAAGTCAGTGAGTATTCAAAATTTACATTCTACATGTATGCGACAGGCCTTTGAAAAGTTTCTTTGACCATGTAAAAGTTTTAATGTTGTCATATGACCTGTACAAAATCTAGGGGAGTTGGGACAGATGACCAAGAATAAGGAAGAAAGAAGTACAAAAACAAGGGCTTTCCTGCAATATACAAGAAAGGCCAATTAGCATCAGTTAAAGAGTTAAATTTCATTTTTAAGAAAAGAATTGTTCCACATGAAAAATGTCACCATCTCACAAGCACCCCTGAAGCATGATACAAGTACGTGTACACTGTATGGTCCACACTGCTGGCTGTGCAGAGGTCAATATCCGTGGGTAACCTTTCCAAGCTATAAAGTGAAAGACCTACATGTACATGTACATGTATTGTTGTCAATGAAAATTTCAATTTCAGACACTAAACTTCCCATTTTCCAGCCATAATTTCCTCTGCATCCATAACTTGTGGTTAGGACCTACATGTACAGTACATCTATCAACTGACAATGTTTTGGACTTGCAGTAAGACGTGCACACAAATGTGAAAGGGTGGTCATGCGGTCGCATGGTATAATATACATGTACATGAACATGTATCTCACCTGCAGTAACATTGATGCTTGATAAAGTTGTTGTTTAACAAATCCACAGCGTTTACTGTTGCAAGAGGCATATTACTAATTACTCCAAGGTAACTTTACGGACAACTCTCCGCCAAGAAAAACTGCTCTTTTTGAAAAAAGACCACTGATAATACACTACTTTCTTTCTGTTTCTCAAAGCAGTGAACTAAAATTACATTTATGTCACTTTACAGTATTATTATTACTACAAAAAAGAGTAAAATTCACACGCCATTAACATTTAGGTGAGCACGGTGAGGAGCACTCCCATGGCATTCATGTTACAGATTGCCACATTTTTCACAGTCAAGGGGTTTGAGGAACTTCAAAAAAGTCAGCCCCAACAAAGGGTAGCACAACACACACTTGTACATGTACATGTGTGGAAACATTTGATAGCGGTCAATCGTGTATCAGTCCAAGTAATTAGGACCTTATATGTATCACCTTTCTTTTAACATTAGGATTATCTGGCAATAGTAAAGTCCAAAGGCCAATTTGTTTCATGAACATCGGGATCACGATCAGTGATCCATCGGATCAAACTGGCCCAAGTGGATTGGCAGGGGTGGCTCTACAGATAATCAGCAAGACAAAACATCAAATTTCACCCTAAACTTGTGTGTTCCCACGGGCTTAACTTACATGACTTTCCTGTAGAATGACAAGATTAATTTAATCCAATGGGGACACACGGTAAACCGACATCCCTCTCAACTTACTGCAACTGTGATGCAAAACAACCTGGCCAAAAGTGGTTGTGGAAGATTTCCGAACAACCACAGTAAGTTAGCAGGGGCACTAAAACATCCAGTGAGAACAGTTCCATTATAAAGATCTACCACAGCTGCACTGTAAACCTCTACAGGACAGCTCAACGCTGCACAGAGAATATGTCAGCACTCAATAACATGCAAGCCTACATGTAAATTACTAGAGTGTCTCAGGACAAAAATTAATTGTCTTGTCTCTAGTCTTTCAATTCCTGTTCAATTTTTGGTGGATTAGCCAATTACAGTTTTAATTATTCTTAATTATTCTCACAAAACAAACAACCACCAGAATGTGACAGTCCCCAAGCCGGCTCGCAACCACTTTTCAAATGGCTTCTCTCTACTTTATTGGGCACATAGGACCATTTCATTCGTAATTTTATTGAGTCTATCCTCAGAAGCCCTAAACCCAGGGAGTAGATCCTAGCCTGTATTTCCACAATCCCTCAATTTTCCGGCCAAAAGAAAACATGGGGCACTCTTTATTAATGAGTTCAGCGAAATTATCACTTGAATTAGTGCACTGCACCCCACATACATGTACGTACATTGTGTTTGATCACCACTTGAATCATGGCATATTTGGCTGATGTTTTTTCAACTTTGTGGCTACTTTTTATGCCAACAAAAATGCTGAAGAACATGTAACAGAGTAGGAGACATGGAAGAAATTCTGTTAGCACTAACAAGAAAAGGGCGTATACACCTTTCTCAGAACACTAGTGGAGAATATACATGTAGAAGATGAATGGGGGTCATGTAGAATTTTGCCATACACCTGTACTACTGAGCTGACCAGAAATAATGGGCGACATTCAGCTAGTCTCACATACCAGGCCTCGAAATAGTACTAGCCCGGCATACAAATTCTAGCGAAAAATGCTCCGAGCTATTTAGACTTGGTTCCTTGGTTGCCCAGTGGGCTAGTGAAAAAATTAGTATAGAACCTACCTGTAGTGTTAAAATTTAGATCAAAACACTTTTATTGCTTTTGGTGATAATAAATGCACGATTGCAAAACCTTCACCTACGAGTGCATGTGACATACAGCAAATCGTGCCTCTTATTTTTCCCATCAGCAATTTATTTTCTTCATTGGTATTAAAGCTAACAACAATTTTGGGTTTTCTTTTTTTGCATACAGGCTAGTAAAACTCTTAACGGGCTAGTAAAATACCCAGTTTACTAGCCCGGTGGGCTATCCAGGAAAAAAAGTTAGCGCAAGCCCTGCACACCAAATAAACATTCTGTTGCTGTTTCAAAAGTTTAAGTGGGAATGTGTGGTAGACTGACATGAAGGTATATGTACGTCCCTTAAGTTTCAGTATGGCAGCAAAAGAAAAAGTCCACTGGGAATGCAGCTTTCAACGGTGGCAAAAATGTTTACGCTACTCAAGGTACACCTGAAGTTCCAGAATTACAGTACATTAGAAATACAACACCAATACACCAAACAACTGGGTATATCGAACATTCTCATTGACTCCTGAATTTTACGAACACTTTTACCACACATTACAAAATTTGCTACAAATAAGAGAAATACATTAAGAAATGATGACTAAAGTTATTAAAAATCTTGCGAAGGAAAACCGGCCAACATGCGGTGCGGTCGGTATTGTCTGCAGGTACTACAGTATATGTACATGCATACACAGGGGCCATGTAAACCAGCCACAAAGAACGTACAACAGGGCTGACTACATGTATATGAACATTCTTGCTTTGCATTATCGCTACAAAGACAAGCATGCTTACCTCAAAAGAAGCTCATCAAAACAGAAAATAAAGGCCCAGACAGACAGAATAGCTTTTGTTAATTGTGTGCTACTCTCAGAATCTTTGTTGAAATTTTGCTTGTTTCAGTTTGTTTTCATCAACACTTGCCCGAGTGGAAGTTGGGAGTGTAGGCTAAAAAAAAGCATACAGATATATTCCAGAGAAAAACTGATGCATGTTTGAAAGTGCTTATGCCAGGAACAGGTGTATCAGCAACTGGAAACTGCTATACCGAACGTCTGCTAAACTGAACATTTTGTGTGGGTCCCATCGTGTTCATCACTGTACTGCACTAAGGTTTTCTTACAATGTGCCAGATAAGAAGTGCAATTTCATGTTAAAGTATGAGTGCTCCCGTAGCACATATTGCCATTGGTGTTACAAAGTTCAAAACGGCACACAAGTCGTGACCCGAATTGACCTCGCATATCATCAAGTCACAAGTGCACTTCCATGCATCCCTCATGCAAACGACTGTTTCCTAATGTGTACAGTACTAATTGCATGCTATGAGACAAGCTGCTCGCGTGCGATTGTCGTTATGTACATGTATGTTGACTGTTGTGTAACAGTCCTCCACAAAAGTGAAGCCAGGAGCTACATGTACACATATATGTACACAGTACAGTATTTAAGTTACAGGCTACAGGGGCACTACAGGAACCCTTTTCATTTATTGGGAAAATACACTTTTCAGTAAGAGTTCCATATACGGACATCACTAATTTTCCATTACTGTGGTTTATTGGCCATCTTTTAGTCAAGTTCAGCAGGGAAAACAGCATATAGGCCTAATTATAAATACTTAGAATTGTTCAGATCAGTTTCATACTAGGGTACGTGCACAGAGGGCCAAGTAATGTTATGGATGTCCAGATACAGAACTTTTCCGCACTTTTCATGAACGTACATGTAAGTCAACCTACATGTACATGTACCGGTATAGGCAAGTTCTTCAAACATTATCCTCTAACTCTAACCATGTGACTGGGCCTTCTGGTGACCGATCTAGAATTTTTGTGGCTGTTACATAGGCCTACCCAAGGAACTGTGGAGTTCCTTGTCCACCCCTTTCCCACATAACCCACAGTTCTAGGGGTAGCCATTCCATAAGAAGAGTTCGATATATGGATATCACTTTATATTCCCTTGCACTTTTGCAGTGATACACCCGTTTACAACTTCTAAACCATCAGAAAGTGATAACACGCCCCAAAAGTCAAATAAGGTAATAAAATTATGAATCATTTACTAATAAACTCCTTAATTTTTTTCAGACCAGGCTCAAAGGGTTGGTGCCCAGAATGTCACAGTTTGTATATGGAACTCTTTCCTAGCCATTCATAGGATGAAATTGGATAGGCATATCCAAGTTCAATCATGGTTCAATTTAGTTGGGCCATATGTAAACAAACATGACAAGGTAAACCTCTGCCATGTCTGCCAATCTGCTTGGACCCTTCAATTGCTATCGCAAAATCATATCCTTACATCAGAAAAGGGCAAAATCTAGGGTCTAAGTTACTCGGACTAGCAGACTCGGCTACAGTACTAGGCTACAGTACATAGCTGACAAGTAGGCCTATACTTTAAGTGTAAAGGCCCTAGGCTAACTTACTCGAGATAATATCTTTGACCAGTACTTGTTGATGCCATCTCCCAACCTGGTGGAAGTGGTGTATTGTCATCTGTTATATCGTAACTTTGTTGTCTCAGATGCTGATGCTGCAAACTTTGTGCTCCAACGGCATGCATTTCCTGCAAGGCGGCCGGCGATGAATGCGCCCGGGAGTGGGCGACGGTAAGCCCAGGAGCTGCCAGTGTCTGTCCGCTACCACTGACATTACTGCCATTTGCACTTGGCCCGTAGTTCGTGCTGTCCGCACTGGACTCCCGAGAGTGATGTGCGTGAACACGGTCTGGTTCTTTGAAAAAAGACGACGGTAAATTTCTCATCCGCATGGGGATAGAGCTGCTCTGACTGGTTTCCCGGGGGTTCATAACACTTTTAAATAAATCCTCCAACTCTGCATCTGAATCACTTCGCACGTGTAAAACTTGTCGCGGTTGGGCCTGTTGGTTCTGGGTTTCCATCGTGTTCAGATAGTGTGAGTAGGCCTGAGAGAATGAAAACTTATCCTGACTAAAATTTCAACACTCAACAGATCGATGGCTTGGTCTCAAAAAACGCTCACCGAAAACCCACTCATTGAAGTAACAACCCCGGTCCACAAGGACATTGGATACGTAGTGTATATTTCTACTGCCTGCCGTCAGCTGGATGGCAGAAGATATTTCAAGAGGCAAGAAAATGTAGTTTGAACCTACAAATGGCGACGAGATTGCATAGGTCTCCAGTAGTTGTCGATATATATACCACACACCGTGTACTGCCACTCACGCTTCTACAGTTCTAGTTCTAGTTGTGCAGATTGATACTATCTCTCCCCGACCCTCTACGCACGTACACGTTCACCTTGGCCAGTACGACTCCCTCCACTCCGCATTGCGTATCGATGTATCGGTTGCGCTTGTTTTAATTACGTGCGCATAGCTATAGGCCAACGATGTCTTTACCAATAAAATATAGGTCCTTAAGGTCACATGGGGGTCATAGCCACATCTACTGTAAGTTCAGCCCCTATTTTATTTTATTTGAAAGTTAATTTCATCCTGATAATTATTTGGGAAAAGTGCTTACTGAAAGAAATATTACCCAAAGAAATGAAAAAGTAAGCACAAGTAGCGGATTGATACTTGTGGGTTATTCGACGCTTCCGGGGTGCAAATGCTGGTCACATCAAATACGTCACCAAATGGCATCTCCGATCCGCTTGCCTCAGCTCAGTGCTGGGAGCGATGGGGTAAGAAATACATGTATGCATCATGCCAATGCATGATAGAGGGTGTGGCACTTTTGGCTGAGTGTCTCATCATGACTGGGTCTCAAGTTACTCTTAACAGAGGCCTGATTGCAGATCCTTGATCAAGATACCTGGTCTCATTCAACTTAAAAAAGTCACTGGGTCTGACGTCTCGATCAAAATCTTTCTCAAAAATTCTCTGATGATTTTGTTGTTCCTTGTTTCACAAAAAGCCTGACGATCTCGACGTCAAGTCAAAATCCTTATTACATTTCACAGTGAGGTAATTAATTAAAATGCTCGCTTACAAAACTTTAAATTACATACAACTATACAAAAAATAATGAAATTAAAACGATTAAAATTCATTAAGCAATTGGAGTAAATAAACTCAGTATGCAATCTAAAAATTACCCCTCTTAACACACTTTAATAACAACGCTGCAAAAGAATATTATAGTGTTGGTTTGTTACCACATATGGTAACCGGGACCCAACGTACGCCGACCAGACATTGGGATCAGTCGTTCAACAAACCTGCCATGAAGTGGGCGGATTTTGTTGTCCATTATCATCGCATATGAAATATATGTATTTGTAATAACACCTAATATTTGTTAGACGGTACCACGGAGGCATAGCATGGAACGTCCCACCCAAATCAAACTTTCTTTAAAATGACACTTGTGCGGAGCATGAGAGACACTAACTCCAGCCTCCGCCCCCACCCGCACCCCCCCCCCTGCAAAAAGGTGATGTAAGGCATAGCAAGAAACAGGGCAAAGTATAGTACATTTTTTAAATCTAAATTATAAGCTTTTAAGTTCAGAGAGGTCAAACGAAACTGTTCAGCGCTACCTATAGCTGGATACGGACCATATTTATGATTTCAGCAAGTATCAAGTGCATTGCGTTTTCGTTCGGCCCCATACCCTTGTGTTGGTCGAGGAGACATTCAGTTCTGTTCAAGCGTGAACGGAAGTTATAGATGAGACCACTACAGTCGTGGCGCCCCACCAACGGATCCGAGAATAGGGAGGGGTCCCATTAACAGTGAAGATACTGCCCTTAATCTTGCAAACTCCAGCCCCGAAACAGCTAAGCCATGGTCCTGGATTAGTTTGCAAGGGTGTATCAATGGCCCGCGCAGCGCTCTATATACAACAATTGTTTGTAGAGAGAGAGAGAGAGAAGTGACACGAGTGTCTCAATTATTATTATTATTATTATTATTCATTTCTAATAATGACTCCAAGGATTACTCAAAAGCGCCCGCTGCACTGTAGCTCACAGGCCTGAAGAAATTAACCTTTCGAGAGGAGACAATGAGAAGGAGTTACAATTTTTAGATATGAGAGGAAACCCCAGAGATTAATTAACATGGGCAATTAGCACACAACAGCTGCGTGCAGTAATTTACTACACACATGAACAGCCGTTTTATTTGGTTCCCAAATCTAAAGTTGGCGCTAATATAAAAGCTCTGCTACTAATATACATGTATGATCTACGGAATCGTATTACCTCCATACGCTTATTTTTTTCGCTTAGTTTTCACTTCCGGACGTGACAGTTCCACGTACATGAAACTTTCAAGAACCTATGTGAAAAATAGTTTTGAGTGTGGCACTAATACGTTTCCGTAATGATCCAATGTGTAGGAGCCGTCTGTGCTCATTTCGAAAAGCGCCCTCACCATTATGCCATAATTATCATAAGTCTCTATCAAATATTTTTGAGTGTGGCAGTAATACGTTTCTGTAATGATCCAATGTGTAGGAGCCATCCATGCTCAATTCGAAAAGCGCCCTCGCCATTATGACATAATTATCATGAATCTCTATCAGCATTTCACATACTTTCTTCTTGATAACGTCTCCCTTTCAGGGTTTTAATTTGTGAAAGTCTCGAGGTCCTCTTTTCAAGATGACAAAGTTGCATCCGAAACTAAGTTCAAGCCAATTGTCTATCTCTTTCTGTTGCAAGTATATCTTCATTTTTGTGTGGGGTGTGCCTGTGTGTGTGTGGTACTCACAGCAGAGGCGCGCCATGAGGCGGGCACGCGTAACTAATTTATCCGGTTCGTAAGTAACTTCGTCACAAAGGCAGACGCGCCACGATTTGCAGGCTCTCGTTGGACGATCGCTGAAGTCGAGCACTGTGACGAGCACTGTGACCAGAAATGCGCAGTGCAGTTTGGGGCTCGCGGCGGTCCTGACCATTTGGCTCTGGTCAACCTGACTTTCGGTGTCCAAATTCGTCTAAATTTCGCTTCGGTTGAAAAGTTATGCAGGCTTGTCCAATCATTATAGGTGTTGCAGTGGCTGCCGCAATAAATCTGGTTGGCATGATTTCTAAATTCTAAACACCAAGATTGGACGATTGGACTGGATTGGATTGGATTGGAAGTTTCCGAACTCGACCCAAGACGGTTCGACGCTGCGACGATGTCTTCTCAAATGTAGGTCACAGATATGCAAATTTTTATGTTAATTAATACCTCTTGGGGGCGGGGCCGTTTCGCCGAAATTTACTTTAATTTTTTCTCTTATTTATTAATCAAACAACAACTTTTACACTCTGGATATGATTTAAAAACATAGAATTTTCAATAACAACTGAAAAAACTTTCATAGGCCCTTTAAAATTCCCAGATTACAGCCACCACAAGCACAAACTTTGCGTTCAGACTGAATGTGCGATATAGTATTTTTGAAAATGCATCCCATCCTTTAAATTAATCAATTAAACTATATAAAATCAATTAAACTATATTTGTGACTTCAGTCTATTTCGAAAATGTAGATTATTTTTTACGAATCTACACTTAACTGTAGATTATTTAGTTTTACAATAACTACAAGGTAAAAACTCTGGAGTTAAAATCAACACTTTTGGGTGTTATTAGATGACCACACCATAGTGTGTTACTTTAACACCGCTGGTTTTACTTTGCACACCTGTAAGTGTTACAATGTACTGGAGGGTGTTAAAAATAACACCAGGTAACATCCAAATTTTTAACAAAAGTGAAAAGTGTTGGTGTAGTCCTTTGATGACACTGGGGGTGTTAAATTTAATACCTTAATTTTTGCACTGTACATGTATACAAAATACAAAACTACACCTGACGATCCAGGAAGCGTTTCACAAGAATTTTCAACTTTATAAACGTCACTTTGACAACAAAATTCAGAAAATGTTCTTTAAACTAATTTTAAGAAATCATTGCAATTATAAACTTCATCGACATTATCCAAAAAAGTGCCTGCAAGGTAATATTTCCATTTAAGATTGCTCAATATCTTTAAAACCTTGAAAGAAACTGTGCAAATGGACAATGACCTTCACATGTATTTCACTGCTGTCTGCGTGATTGGTCACAGGTCTCCCAAAGCTAGCTAATGCTACCTGATGCAAGAACGCCGATGTCTTTACTATATTTTTCTGTGGGACGCTTCTTGGAGACCAGATCGAGCATTACTGATGGCTTCACGTTGCTCATCCGTGGTTCGTTTGCAACACCAGACGGCAGAGGAGCGGTGACCAGTAGCCTCACATGTCAGCTGCTCGTCGAAGTTCTGAAAGTACAAACGCGCAGCGGCCGCAGCACGGAGAGAGAGTGGTTAGAAAAATAACCAACCAATTCAGTTCGCTCACATAGGCGTCGCACAGTGAATTCGTTGTAGCTGACAACTTCAATTACACCATATATCACGGTTTGGCTTTGCAAGAGGACAAAGATAGAAAGCCGGACTACACTTCCCTGATGTTGGTCTGTGGTTAATGTACTTCTAGTAGACGTACTATAGGCCTACTGTCCGAATTTAAGGGGTTTTCGTTCGCGTCCACTGTCTTGGGAGAAACAGCTTCCCACTGGAAGTTGTCTGAAGGCTAATCTGTGAGTTTAGTGCAGCTTTTTATGTTCTTCACCAGCCGTCAAAGCAAGGTGGATTCTGAATAGGTTCAACACGTATCCACTAGTATCACTCCGCAGAATCATTTTCTTCTTCTCCCACATGACCGTGTTCGCATCTTCCGTGCTGATTATTTCTGCCTTCCGGCATTTCACTCTGTGTCCAGCAGCAGAAGGTTCCTTCATCTTGTTGTCAAGCGTATTTCTCAAAGAAGAAAATTTCTCATCTTGAATAAACTGATATTCCTTGCCGTGCATTGCCATATAAAGCTGGATACATATCAGCATCTCGTAGAGGGTTTCATCCTCGCCGTTGACCTTGAGCACTTCCAGGATGAAACGGGTGAGAGAATAACAGTTCATCTAAAACCCTTTTTGTTTTAAATATCTTTCAAGACCTGTAAAGGAATACGAGAATACGAGAAAAGAATCACATTACATCCGGCAACGGGAGGTTTGAATCTACTGCATTCATCATTCAGTTGTTTGTTTTGTTTTGGGGTTTGGGTTGGCTGGAACATATTCGTCCGATACGTCAGAAAAATAAATCGATTTATCATAGGCGCACTCTTTTTGGTAAACCACTTGGACGTCATTTTCTAGCATCAACAGGAAGTTAGCTACAGCAGCAGCCCTGTCAGAATCAATGGATGAGGTTTGAAACTCTTCTGAGTAAGAGGTATAGAGGGATCCCAATACGACGCTTTCAGCGTCGATCTGCGCATTTCCGCGTTTGAAAACGAGGCTGTATGTGTTGGCTTTAATTCTTTTACGATCAAACGATGAAAAGTAAGGAGTCAAGACACAAAAAACATAAAGGAATGTAAAATTAAGACTTTCCAGGCTTCAACTTTTTGTGGAAGAGTCTTTCAGGATGACTCAACACTCTTTTTAAGGCGATTATATAATCCTTGTACCCGTAGCTTAAACAATACCAATCTACACTTGTTTCAAAACCTCTCGATAAAGGCAACGCCAGAGCTTCATTTGAATTATCCTTTAAATTTGTTATTTAAAAAATAGTTTTAAGTCAGAAAACAGAACTTGGAACTGTAGATTCGTGCAAGAATGGTTTCGGCTTCGTCCTGCCCATTCTTTGCACGAATCTGCCGTCTTTGTCCATTCTCTATGACGCAATGAAACTACGTGAAGCTATCATGAAATAGAAAAGGAATGTGTAGAACAATAAACTCATTTTCTCGTTGTTGCTTCTGTCATACAAGGAATCGGTAGTATTACAAAATAAGACAGCCCGCAATAAATTCTGATGTACCCGTTGGACGGAAACACACCACACGACTACGGATCCCCCACGGAAGAGCAGCATGTTAGAGCTGTAAACGTCTTTGTTTTTCAGATGCAGTTAAAAGTGCATAGGAGGAATTAAAATCTGGAAAGAAGCAGAAAATGAGACTTAAATTTGTGGCCAAGAGCTTGTTTGAATAAAAATCCTGTGTGTTTTAAGATTTCGCCAGTACTTTATATCGATTCAACATTTCGCTCACAATCATTTTTAAAAGCTCCAATTTAACAAAAAATGTAAGCGGTGGAATTCCACGAGAGTGTGGACCATAATTGCCACAATCAAGTTGATCGATTATGAGGTGAGCTACCAATGAAGCTCTTGGCCTCCTTTGGGTTTCGAGGAAAAAAGGCTAGTACCAGTGGATTCAATGTGAGATAATATGAGATTACACGGTTTCAAGGTAATGAACTTAAAGCAATATTAGCGCTCAGCCTACGTAAGCATTACCTTGGACTGTCTCCTTTCACCATCCTAAATGAAAGGAGTAAATGGCAGGGTTTTCAATTTTTGGCGGCAGGAATTCTACTGTGCACTTTTATTACCACCTTATAGAACAATGAATTATGCATAAAATTCAGACTATCTGGTTCCCCAAGTGGAAACTGAGGCCAGAAGTCTTATACATTTGGCCTCAGCTGATTAATTAGTTACATCGGTGTTTACATTTGGGCTGAAAGTCCATAAGCAGTATTAGCTGAGTAAACGTGGACATACATGTAGCTTGTGCAGTCACACACATCCATCCAATTTGTGCTGCAAGTGGACCACAGCAGGTCAGTCCAAAGTGCATTGCGCTTATTCCCACCCTTTTTGTCTTATTGGAGGAGACACCGAATAAAGTACATTTGTAAAAAATTGCCTTCCACGCAAATATCGAGTCATGGTGTGCTGTGTAAAAAGATGAACAGAGTTTATCTGATAACAGTCGACCAACCCCGTCAGAAGTATGGGTACCTTTACTGGTCATGTCGTCCCAGGTGCTTTCTTCATACTCTTTGCTATGTGGAACTTGATACACCCATGTATGCAGCCAAGGTCATCTGAACACATAAGATATATCAGTCACTGCCATCAACTGAAGAGTCTACTTCGCAATCCCCTCTTTATCGAAGGACTTGTGAAATTTGTTGTTACATTTGCAGCTGCCGTTGGAGAGTTGTGGTGGGGAGGCTGGAAAATAATCAACCATGGTAGATTTGTGAGTCTCAACAATTACCAACATGCCACAATGTACAGCTTCTTTGGATTGGCAGGTCTGGCAGAGATGCTAAGTGTAACATGCATCAAACTCAGATCCAGACAAGACAAATTATTTCAAGCAACTGCATTCTTTGCTGAAGGCTTCCTGTTTTACTTTCATCTGCATGAGCGATCAGCTGTTGATGTGAGACTTCATATTCTCTTAGTGTTGGCCACCATTGGATGCTGTGTTGGTTCAGCTTTAGAAGGTCTTACCAGTTCTGAGAGGGGCCAGTCCTTCTTTAGATACGTGTGGATTGTTTGTACTTTTTTGCAAGGGACGTGGTTCATACAGACAGGGTTCATACTGTACAACCCATGGCTCTCCGGATCAAGCCCCTGGGCAGGTGATGAATTGTCAGCACTCAGCATAGTGACCACAGTTTATGCCTGGCATGTATTGCTGGCCATCCTCATCACTGCATTTATCAACACAGTAGTTACGCGGTGTGTTCAGAGGAAAGGATTTAGGCCAAAACAGTTCTCGCCATGAATAGCAGCTGTGTCACAAAGCAAGCCTTGAAGGAAATTAGGCATTGGAGAGTAAAGGTGGAACCTTGGAGCTACCATCTCCATGGTTACAGCAAAGACCATACACGGAAACTGCCTTTTTCTTTATTGTCATTTCAGTGTACTTGTACTCTGCAGTTTTGCAGATTAGGTGTAGATGATTAGGCTAAAAAACCTGAAAGTAAGCAGACATATAGCCATGAATGTGTATCAGGAAACTTATGCGAAATTCACTTTTAATAAGGGAATACATAATGTGCTTGACAAGTCTTCAACATTTATGGAAGACCATCTGTGCAGAACAGACTAAAGCCCAAGTTGTAGGCGAGGGCATATACAGACATGCAGCTTGGACTTTGAAAAAAACCAAGGAAATTCCAGTCTTTACAAGACTTTGTACAGTATTTTTTCAATTTTCTATGACATGAGTGTGAAGTGAAAAATGAGGAAATCAGCTGATCCAAGGAAAAGTTGCATGCCTGCATATACGTGTATTGTAGAATGGATACTGAGACTGCAAACCAAATACATGTACTCATTCCCATTCATAAATACCTCTTGATTCTGAAAGTCAAAACTTTTAAAATTGCGAAGTTCTAAATACCCTTCTAGCCATGTTATTATGGTGTGTCCCTTTTGTGAGCAGTCATGAACAATGACCTTATATGGAGATTGGTGTGTTTGCGGTGTGTACTGTGTGAGATGGCACGCAACCAACCCAGTGCTTCATTAACTTTTATAGACGTTATAAGCTGTCAACCAATAGGATCTAGGAATGGCAAAACTGCCCTAAGAATTTATAAATGCACAATTATGCATCGTAGTTCCCATGCAGTATTACGTCATGCTCAGAGTTAAGCTTTTCCAAAAGACTGGTTTCACCAACCAATAATTCAGGCATTTAATCATTTATGGGATGATCTTCAATCTAGAAACATTCTTTTTATCAAGTTTAAATAAGTTTTCGTTTCATTTTGTTTTGCTTCTTTATTTACTTCTATCTGTGGATGGCATCTTTATAGGTGTGGTAGAGAATATAGGCACAACATTTGTTCAGCAGGATTGAGGATATATGCTCCTCTGCAATGTGGGTGGG